TCAACCCATTAAGTACCCTTTGACCCTCCACTTCATCAAGGTTAAATAAAAAACAATGTGTTCACAAAGAAACAATGAGCCATAAGCAGGAAAGGCCTGGTGGAAAAACATAATCCGGGCAACCACCTGACTTGACATAACTCAAAGAGACAAGCAGTAGATTTCATATTCCCAGGTGAGCAAGTACTGAAGGTTGGAATACATCATATGTGTTCAATAGAGGAAATGGAACGTTAGGTTAGGAAAGACAGACACCCTTGGTGAAGAGCCTTAGGAGTTTGATTTTATGCTGAAGACAGTGGGGAACTACTGCAGGATTATAGGTAAGGAATGAACCAATATAAAAGCTGAAACACTTATAAAATGGTTCAGCTTTTCTTTCCCATACACAGTTTATAAGCAAGGAAATTAGTTTTTGTAACACTATAGAAAACACTGAGAGGACCAGTGCCTGAAAATGAGATTGGAGGCAGAGATGCAAACAACTTTGAAAAGAGTTACCCAGATAGGACTTGGGCAAAGGAGGCAGTTAGCCAGAAATGATTCCAACACTACTGCATGTATGTCCGAAAAAAAACACAGCCTGGAAAGGTACAGAACGCGAAGGGCATGTAAACTTGGGGAAACGCTAACGAACTCACTTCCAGGCGCTAGCGAGGCAACGCTGATGTTTGAGCGACCTGGGCTTCCCACTTTTCTCCCTACCCAAGCCTCCCAGAGCTCCTCGGCAGCACGTGCTTCTCCAGCCCCAGAACCCTCACAGGTGTTTCCGTCTACCCTCGCCTGCCCCAGGCCTCACCTCACCGGCTCCGGCCTACTTTTCTTTTCCGGTACGGCAGCAACTCCAGCCACTGCGAAGGTGTGAGCCAAGGAATGGCGGGTCCCGCGCTCCCAGAATACCACGCGTTCCCAAAATGCTGCGCGCAGTGCCCGCCCCCTTCGTTTTCTTAGTGGTGAGCGCGGTCTTGCCTCTGCTTTCCCTCACCCTGCCGGCTGGGAAACATGGACTCCCGTACGATAGTTCCGGCCCCGGAAGAGAGGGCTGGTGACCAGACCCAGGTGTCGCCGGAAACACTGATCGTAGGGCGGCAAGGGGGTGTACGGGACTCGCGTTTCCAAACACCGCACACCAGGGACAGGATGGACTACGAGGCAGGAATCTGGGGCCTGGGCTCTCGTATCGGGGGCAGCAGGCGGAGGGGCCGAGGGCCAGGACCTCCCCTCACAATTTAGCCTTTGGAACCCGGCACCGCCAGGTAGGGGGAGCCTTCAGCAAGGCGAGGTATCTCACCGTACAAGTAGAGAAACAGGTATAGCGAGTAGAGCTGGGACCGGCCCAGCGCCGTCCCTCAAGGGAGTCGAGGCAGTGTTAGGGCTTTTGGAACCCCGCGGTGTACGGGTAAGACCTGGCCTTAGGTTAGCAAATTGCAGCTGGGAGTTTGCGAAAGTGAAGAGTCTCTGGGGAACCAATGCTCGTGGAAAGGCAGGGCTTCAAGGCCCCGCTCAGGAAAAGGGGCGGAGCTTCCGGGGAACGGAGGCGGGAAAGGGTCTGCGTGATGTGGTGAAAGGGGCGGGGCCACCAGGAGCGGACACTGCCAATGGCCTGGACCCGCGAGGATCTTGAGACTGGGACCTGTAGGAATAAAAGTCAGGGGAGGGGAAAAGAAGGGGAAGGGCCTCCTTGAGGCAGAGAAGGGGTGGGGTTAGTGAAGGGGCGGGGCCTGAGCCTTAGTCTGGAAGGGGCGGGGCGGGGCTTGGGGCGGCCCTGCCACCGCCTCCTCTCCTCCCCACCGCGGTGGCGGTGGCGGCGGCAGCAGCGGCGGCGGAGGAACCTGACACGCTCCGGCCCCACTCCCGCCTCAGTCGAAGGCGAAGCTGCAGCCAGCGCCGGGCGGGGGCCATGGGCGCCCCGTACGGCCCGGGTCATGAGGACGGAGGCGGAGGCAGCGGGGCCGCCGCTCGAGCCCGGTCAGTGTCTCCCCGAGGGCCCAGCCCTCACCCCGGGGAACGAGGGGGACCCCGCCCTAGCGCGGGCAGGGTCTGGCTGCGCGACCTTGGGCCGACCGCGGCCACGGGCCGAGCTGTAGGGCTTTGAGCGACACCTGGCCAGGTGTATACACTCCCGCGTTTGCCGCTTACACGCAGCCCGGGTCATTTGGAATTTCCTAATACTCCTAGGACTGGGACCCCAGTCAGCTCTGAAAGTGGTCATGGTGGGAGGGTCCTGGTTTTGGGGCAAGGGCGGCACCTTTCCCAGAAGCGAAAAGCCCTTCTGGAACCGCCTTAGGAGATCCCGTCCCCTCCCGGAACTCTGGGGTAACTGAGGCCTAGAAGGGCAGGGAACTGGCTGATAGCACAGAGCAATGGGTGTGCCCCTTACCCTGACCTCCCAGACTCAGCGTTTTGTCTTACAGTAGCTCTTGACCCTCTGGTTCCTTCTGCCCTCAGGTGGCCTGAGTTCCTTTGGGGCAGAAATCAAGACTGACGTTTAGTGCCTTGGGCCTCAGCTTGCTTCTCTGAGTGGGGGAGGGGAAAGGCAATGATTCCTGCTCTTAGAGTTGATGAGAAAGAGAAAATGCTAGTAAACTCTGAGATGTGCCAAGAGCATGTGGGACATCAGGGAGCTTGGGGTCATAGCCAGGGAGTGGTCTCTTTTGTGAATGCAGCAGAGCATAGGGTCTGATGCCATCCTGGGATTTGCATCCCTTCTCTTCCAGTTATCTAACTCTCTAATCTTGGATCAGACACTTGCCTTTCTTGAGTCTCAGTGAAGTAATGGCTCACATTTATAGGGAGCTTTCTCTGTGTGGGCATTGTGCTAAGTTGTTTACATGCAGTGCCTTATTAATCCTCACAAGGACCCTGTAAAGTAGGTTACCATTGTTACTTGCACTTCTGCACACAAGCAGATAGAGCTGAAAGGAGTTAAGTATCCAGGACCAATGAGCTGCCTGAAGCCATGCCAGGGCCTAACAGACAAACCCTGTTTCAGGTGGGACAGTCCCTTGGCTCCAGTCATCAACATCTGGCAGCAGTTCTGGACTTCAAAGGCCTTGCCTTCCCTTATCTCTCCACAGGAGTAGCTCTGGATCCCTGCAGGCTAACCTGCCCATGCCAAGACTGGAGATGGCCATGTGGGAGTGTTTAGCCTTGCAGGGCTTTGAAATCAGGGGTTCTAGGGACCAGGGCAAGAAGAGGAAGGGCACAGAAGGACCCTAGGGAGCAGCCGTCCTGTATCACATTTACAGCTGGGAATAGGGGAAGGCACAGACAGAGTCAAAGCCTGATCAAAGATGACCCAGCTAGCCAATGCCAGAGCCCGGGCCACAGAGTGAGGAGGGAGCCATGAACAGAAGGCCATAGTCGAAGCCAGGGTCGGGGGAAGGAGGAGTGTTGGAGCATTGCCATGACAAGTAGGCCTGGGCATCTCAAGGGATAAGGCTTTTCTGGAAAAACACCTTCCATTCATCAAGCATGTATGAGTATCCAAGGGCTGGGAGAAGGCAAATGTAACCCTGTCCCTGCCTGCCCCTGAGGTTTTCTCAGTCTGTCCAGTGGGGAAGGCAGGCATGATCACCTCAAATACTCCATACTGAAGGTCTCAGAGAGGGAAAGAGGCCAGAGCATTTGGATATTCAGAGATGGGAGATAACATTCCAGACTAAGGGATTTGCAAGAGCAAAGGCTGGGGAGTAAACAGCCTGTGTAGAGAGAAACAAAAAAGTAGTTTATTGACACAGTGAAGGGTTCTTTAAAAATTTTTTTTTAAATGTTTTATTTATTTCTGAGAGAGACAGCATGAGCAGGGGAGGGTCAGAGAGAGAGGGAGACAAGGAATCCGAAGCAGGCTCCAGGCTCTGAGCTGTCAGCACAGAGCCTGATGTGGGGCTCGAACCCACAACCGTGAGATCATGACCTGAGCTGAAGTCGGACGCTTAACCAACTGAGCCACCCAGGTGCCCTCACAGTGAAGGGTTCTTAAAAAGGGACGCATTCCACATAGAGGAGGGCACCTGTGGGGATGAGCACTGGGTGTTATATGGAAACCAACTTGACAATAAACTATTTTTTTAAAAAAAGGGAGATGCATTCCACCGTGAGAGAACAGCACCCTGCTAAGTGTTCTCTCTCCACTCGGCCCATTGCAGGGAATTTTTTAGAATATGAATCTGGAGGGCAGGACTTGGGACTTAGTGTTCTCAAATCAGAGCACACATTGAGGGCTTAATAAGTTCATTACTTCTGACAAATATTTATTGAGTTACTGCTAAGCAGCGGACACTAGGCATTGGGAATAACTGAACAAGATTAGCTAATTCTTTGTCCTCGGGAAGCTTATGATATTGTGGGGAGATGGAGTAGCTTTATCTTATTTTTATTTTTCTTATTAATTTTGCTAAGTACTGTGAAGGAAACAAACAGGATGCTGGGAAGGGGGTCCCCCTCTCCCAAAGGCATGGTCAGAAAAATCCTCTCAGAGGAGGAGCATTTGAGCTGGGACCTGCATGACAAAAAGGGGCAGCCTCGAGAACTGCAGGGGAAAGAAAGTCCCAGACAGACAGCTGCACTTGCAGAGGGGTGGAATGAAGCTTGATGGGTTCCCAGGGTAACTGGAACTGGGTACATGAGGTGTCAGGGCCAAGGTGAGGCTGGTGGGGCCCAGATTGGGCTGGGCCCTGCAGGCCATGAAATGGGGTGACGACTTTATTCTTCTAAGAGTAATGGGAGCCTGTGGATGGGATCCCTCTAGCTACTGTGTACAGATGGGAGAGGAGCTCGGGGTGGAATTTGGAACAGAGGATAGGCAGAAGTCAGACTGCACTGAGCCCTCAGAACTGAATCCATGACAGTGGGAAAAGGCAAATGTGGGAAGGCCTTGAATGATGGCCTGGGTTCCTTTTAGAGGCTTCTGGAGTCATGGGGAGGAGGGAACAAAGCCTCGACACGGTTGGGCTCAGTGCGCCAGGCCCCCCCTGGATGGAGGGCAGCATTCACGTCAGCACCTGCAAAGCGCTTTACACACGCTCTTGCCCTGAGTGCTCATAGCACTCTCCAGACTGGCGTCTGTGGTGGTCATTTCATAGAGGAAGAAGCAGGCCAAATGCCTCTCTCAAGTGACTCAGCCAACAAGAGGCCTGTACTCGCCCACACCATCCTGCCATCCCGACACCCTGCTGCTTGCCCTTGGAGGTGAGGAATGGGGAGAGCAAGGCCAATTTTAAGGCAGTGAAGGAGCAGTCACTGGTCCCTGCCTCCTGTGCAGCAGCTCAGCAGGGCACAAACAAGCTCAGTGCAAGGGTCCTATGAGCCAAAGTGTGAACTCTGGCCTGGCAGCGTGCAGAAGAGGGAAAGGGTGTGGCCAGCCTAGGATTAGAGAAGACACCTGGCATCTTGGTGAGACCTTGAAGGCTGGGGAGGGTTTAGACATAGAGTAGGAGCTTGGAACTCACTCCAGGCAAGACACTGTCCAGACAAGGCCAGCGGGTTGAAAAGCCAGGGCCCTTCTGGTTGCTATATGCAGTGGGAGCCAGGGCTGGCATGGCAACCCAGCTTTTCAGGCAGCTCTGCCCAGACAGTTCATGGGTTCAAAAGAGACCCCAGAGACCCCCAAGATGAGGAAACAATGTGGGCTGGGTTTTCACATGTTGAGTGGGTGTCATGAATGAGCAGTGAGTAATGATAGCTGAAGGGAATTCCCTTCCATTTCTCTAGACTCTGAACTTTGTCCAGATTTATGGGATCCCAGAATAGGGTTCCAGTAGGCCACCTGCCAGCTGATTTATGGGATCCCAGAATAGGAGGTTCCAGTAGGCTACATGCCAGCTGGCCCCCACCCTACCACTTCAGTGCCTGCTGTTCCCCTCTGTCTTCCATTCCCTGACCCTCACCCTCTAAGGCATACCCCCACCATTTCCCGAAACTAGCCCTCTGATTTTCCCTAACACTTGCTTGTTTTTGCTGACCACCAGGACAGGGATCTGTTTATGTCACTTACCACCACATCTCCAGTTCACATGCCAGGTGCTAGGCTCTTGGGAAATATTTGTTGATTGAATGACTGAATCAGATCAAAGTCCCCCCCTTTAGAGATAGCCAAACTCAATCCAGCAAGAAGAAGTCGTTGCTCAGCCCACAGCCACGCTGTGACAGAGCTGGGGCTAAAATGCTTAGGTTGTGCCCTTTCTGCTCCTCCACACTGGATGGCAAGAATAGACTGAGAGGTCACCTAAGGTAGCGTTGCACATACACAGATTACATGACAGTCTCCCTTCTTTCTAACCATGGACTTCACACTTTGGTGGCCCTGGGGGCGTTGGAGATAGGCAGACCTCCAGGGGCCTCATGAATTCAGACATGAATATCTGTTGAGCATCTCCCAAGGGCCTGCTCTGTCCCAGCCTTCTCAGAGGTCCCACCATAAAGAGTGCCCTAAAAGAAAGGCCTGTGGGTCTGTGAGTGCAGGTAGTGGGGGGCTAGGCATGATGGAGGCAACGTGGAGAAGTGATATCCAAAGGCAGGAGTTAGGTCAGGCATCTGGGAGGCCAGGAGAGTTCAGGCAGTGGGAATAGGTGTGCAAAGGCCCTGGGATCACAGCAGGTGAAGGTTCTGCCTAGAGGTAGGCCTAGTGAGGATGAGGGGAGGCAAGAAGGCAGAGGGTGCTGGGGCAGCAGCCATGAAGACATTGTCCTAAGAGATGCAGGAACCAACCCATTGCAGGATTTTGTGCAGGGCTGACCTACTCTGACTGATTGTTCTGGGGAGATTACTCCTGTTGTAAGGAGAATGGATTGGGGCACCTGAAAGGCTGTTTACCAGCTTCTGAACAGTCCCTACAGGATCTGAGCAAGAGCCAATGATGGTGGCTCCAACGGAGGTGGTGGTGACAGGCACAGTGCCAAGAGTCTGTGACCTCCTTGTGTTTCCACACAGGAGACTTTGTGCAGCTGCCCGTGCCCATCATCCAGCAGCTCTACCACTGGGACTGCGGCCTGGCCTGCTCCAAGATGGTGCTGCGGTGAGTGCACAGGCCTAGGCCCTCCCCATCCATACCATCTGCTCTGGGTGGAAGGAGAAACAGGGAGAGACCTGGGTGGGATTCATTATCCACATGGCTGTTCGTGGTTGAGCTTTACAGGAGGCCTAGCTTTCATCCAGACTTGGTTCCATCTACAAAAGCAAGCAAAGGGTGGACTAAGCCTTCCAGGTATCAGCTCTGGGGATAGCCAAGGAAGACCCAGGTGCCCAGGCCTGGCTCACAGAGTGATCCCATGACTGGACATGGGACCTTCCATCCTCAGGCTCCCAGAAGACTGTGTCACTAGGGAGCTGACTGTTGAACTAAAGCTGTGAGAATATTACAGGAACCTTGGCCATCAGAGCATAGAGGGACTGTAGTGATCTCCTTGTAGGAGATTTCTCAGGCAGTTCCGGGAACCCCAGAGCAACCTCTCCCTTACCTATATCTTGGCATTCCAGGGAAGATAGTGTTCTACAAAAGGGTTCTGTGTCTAAAACTTAGAAAACCACTAATGTGGTCCAAGCATCTTATCCTAGAAATGAGGCTAGTGAAGCCAGAGTGGTTGGCAACTTACCCAAAGTCACACAACCTGCAAGCGACTCAAGAAGCAGAATCCTCAACTCTGGGGCCAACATAGTACCCCAGGCCTCAGGTTGTGCCCAAGAAGTAGGCAAGATGTAGCATTATGACAAAGGATGGAGCCTTCTGAGGGCGTGGGAGCTCTGATAGTGTCTGATGGGCCCTTGGGAGGAGGGTGACCTCAGCCAGCTTGGCAAGCCAACCTCAGCAGCTCCTCTGTCCATAGGTACCTGGGCCAGCTGGACGACAGTGAGTTCGAGAGTGCCCTGCAGGAGCTGCGACTAACTAGGAGCATCTGGACCATTGACCTGGCCTACCTAATGCGACACTTTGGCGTGAGACACCGCTTCTGCACTCAGACCCTGGGCGTTGACAAGGGCTACAAGAACCAGGTGAGCACCGTCACCCAGGTCCAGTAATTGAAAAAGAGTGTGGTCAAGGCTTGGACATCCGAGTGTGTAAACAGGTGTGCAGAGACTGGGGAACAGCAGCAAATATCCAGTGGGCAGGACTTTCGAGGCAGTCAGACCAGGTGACCTTGAGGTCTAACCTGCCCAAAGCATCTAAGCAGTGAGACTCCTGCTCCCTGCCTTTGAGAGCACTTGATGATGTGCAGAAGAGCATCTCAGGCTGCCTTCATGTGTCCCTGTGAGGCCAGGGCGTCTGAGCATGTCACTCTGACCTCACCCTGCTCCCACTTGCCCATTTTCTTCCTTGTCACAGGGACAGCTGTCTTCAAGCTGGATAATTGCTATTCAGGAAGAAAAACTAAAATGCCATCTCTCCTATTTTTTCTTTTTGAAACAGAATGCCGACATAGCTTCACCATTATACCAATGTACCCCCACCCCCCGACCCATGTAGTTAGAGCCAGTCTTGTCTGCTGCAGAGGCACATGTTGGCCCAGGCTCCCAAACTTGGCAGAACAGGTCTCTCCTGGCCTTGCTGGAGAGTGGCCAGTGCCAGTCAACCTAACTCTCTTTTGAACCTTCCAGGCCAGGGGAAGAAGGCTAATGGATCTGGCTTGATCACTGTGGCTGCAAGGCAGAGAAAAGGACCCAAGAACAGGGTCTCTCCTGCCCCCCCCTTGGAGGCTCTAGTCCTCTCAAGTCCCCTACGGCAAACAAAGTATGTCCCATGAACCTCACCTTGCTGAGCCAAGCCATGGAGGAGCATCTGGGTGGGCTCAGCCACCCCTTTTGCTCATTTACCACAGATTCCCACTGATGTCCATGGGGTCCACGAGCCCAGGGATGACTAGCCTTGCTGAGGGAGCTGACCTGAGCTCAGCTGCCTACCCATCTCCTGAGCATCCTCCCCATGCCACTGTGTGGTCCTGTGCATTCTGCCAGCCATCCTGTCAGCTTAGGACACATGCAGCTTTCTGCCCACCTGTGCTGCATGTACCTTCTCCCCTAGCAGGCCAGGCTCCTACCCTCTTTCACCATCTTTAACTCCATAATATGCTCTTTACTTCATCCAAATGGGGCGAGGGCAGCCAGGACAGGCATCACCTCCAGCCTGCCCTTCTCTCTTTAGTCCTTCTACAGGAAGCACTTTGACACAGAGGAGACCCGGGTGAACCAGCTGTTTGCACAAGCCAAGGCCTGCAAGGTGCTGGTGGAGAAATGGTGAGCCTCCCCTTACTCTTCCTTGCGTGCCTACTCACCCACATATTTACTGTGGGGGAGTCCTTAGGATGGCATACAGGAAAGGCTAGGGACTTGGCAGTCAGGCAGAACTGGGCTTTCCTACCCAGAACCTTGGCCAGTTCTGAGGCCAAGGGCACAGACTTGGCCTCCTATGCCTTACTGTTTCCATTCATAAAATGGGGACATGTGGAGCTACATGACCTACTGGACACAAAACTCTGGCCTCGGGTGGATCACAAGCAGGGGCTAGAGGAACAAGTGAGCAAGACAGACTCCACCCTGCCATCTGGCTGCTCATGGATGGTAGCATGAGACAGAACACAGGAGCCCTTAATGAAGGGGTAAAGCCTAAGGAACATACCGGCGCCGTGAGGTAGAATAATGGGACAGCCCAGTGTGTAGGGTCTCTAAGGAGGCCTGACTCTCAGATCTCCCCAGACTACTGTGACTTTATGTGGGTCTCCCCCTTCTCATCTATACATGAGGAACACAATTCAGGCAGATCCTGGAAGCAGCTTGCTCAGAATCTAATGACTTTCTTCTCTAGCCTCAGGTATCTTAGCTTCAATCCTGTCTGGGCTCCCCTGGACCACTCCTCTGAGGTCTTCCTGTTCTTTACAGACTTATGTTTTCATGGTTAACATAATGTTACCGCACAATAGGTACTTGGGAAAATGGGAAAAGTCTCCACCCATCCTTCAGCCACATGAGCACACGTTGGAAGGAAAGGAACAAATGTTTATTTAGTGGCATCTGACACATGCTGTCTTGTTGATTGGGAAGCTGGTGCAGTCCTCATTCCTCAGGTGAGGAAACTGAGGATGGGAAAATAGCGTGAGCTGCCCATGGTCACCCTCAGCAACTCGGCCATGCTGTGATCCACACCTGGCTCTTCCACACCCAATTATTCTGTGAAGCACAGTGCTCTTTTGGAAGCACGGTGCTCTTATTCCAGCCTGGCCCCCGCTTTTTCCCTGTAGTTGAAATCCCGTTCTTGTACATACCATCGGGAACTCAGCCAGTTATTTCATTTCAAAGACCAAATGGAAAAATGGCATCTTTCCCCAGGCTGAGGCAACCAAACCGAAGTGCCTTGTGACTTGGCCATGGGCTGGAGTTGGACCAGGCCACGTAGCACTAATGCTGCCACTCCTGCGGAGACTTGCTGAGGAAGGAGGCCCCTAGCCTAGGGAACTCCACAGCCCCTCCCCCTCTGGATTCTTAGTTTGCATTTGCTGCCTTCTGTGGGGCATTAAATGGGGCAGGGCCTGATGGTCTGCCTCAGGGAGTGGCTGGCTCTGCTAAACTTGGGTGGGAGGTCCCCTGGAAAGCATTGCTGACCAGCCCCTCATGGGCAGCCCCGTCTGCCACAAGGAACCTTAGAGAAAAGAAAAAAAAGAATAGTCCTTTCAGAGAAGCATGTGGTTTTATTTCTTTTAAGGGTTTTGGGTTTTGTTTTTTTTTTGAGTTTTGTATTTATTTATTTTGAGAGAAAGAGAGAATATGAGTGGGGAAGGGGCAGAGAGAGAGGGACAGAATCCCAAGCCAGCTCCATGGTGTCAGCGCAGAGCCTGATGTTGGGCTTGAACCCACAAACTGTAAGATTATGACCTGAGCCGAAAATAAGAGTCAGACACTTAACCTGCTAAGCCACCCAGGTGCCCCGAGAAGCAGGTGGTTTTAAAACTGACAAAGCTGGGGCGCCTGGGTGGCTTAGTCGGTTGAGCGTCCGACTTTCGCTTGGGTCATGATCTCGCGGTTCGTGGGTTCGAGCCCTGTGTCGGGCTCTGTGCTGACTGCCAGCTCAGAGCCTGGAACCTGTTTCAGAGTCTGTGTCTCCCTCTCTCTCTGACCCTCCTCTGCTCACGCTGTCTCTCTCTCTCTCCTAGAAATAAATAAAACATTTAAAAATTAAAAAAAAAAAAAAACTGACAAAGCTAATCTTGGCTAAGATTTTGGGAATTAAATTGGACTAATAGCTTCCAATGTAAACCACATATGGTTTAGGGTAAATGATCAAGGAGGGTGCTCAGCAAAAAAACTTTACTAGCCAAGGTGGGAGGTGGGGTCCCATGTGTCAATCCAGTGGCCTTTGACAGGGGCTCATCTAGAGCTGACTTCCTGCCACCCCTAGAAGGACGTGGCAGGGTCAGCTGGTCCTTGGGCACATTGAGACCTCTCCCACCTCCTGTGCTGGTACCATGTTAATTGTGGGCTGAGCCTGGGCCATAGTGACAAAGCAGGATGTTCCTGCCTGCAAAGAGCTCAGGAGGGAGGGAAGATGAGCCGTGTCCCCAGGCTTTTGTGATCCAGGCAGGTGTCCGCTTGAGAGACGGGGAAATGGGGCCCAGTGGTGCCAGCTGACCCTCCTCCTGCCCACAGCACAGTGAGCGTGCAGGACATCCAGGAGCACCTGGCACAGGGCCACGTGGCCATTGTGCTGGTGAACTCTGGGGTGTTGCACTGCGACCTCTGCTCCAGTCCTGTCAAGTACTGCTGCTTCGCCCCCAGCGGCCACCGCTGCTTCTGCCGGACCCCTGACTACCAGGGCCACTTCATCGTTCTGCGTGGCTACAACCGGGCCACTGGCTGCATCTTCTACAACAACCCAGCCTATGCCGACCGTGAGTGCTGGGTGGGCTGGGGACAGTAGGTGGGACAGGCTGCATTCATAGTCCATTCCCCATGATTACTTCTCATTCAAGACCTCCCTCGTTGCCTTCTCCCAAAATCTCTGCTCCTCCTGGGCTCCTGTCATCTGTGCTGCTTCTCTGGCCATACAGAGCAGCCACAACCCTGAGCCATACCAGCCTCCACACCCTGGTCATTGCCACACCAGGCCAGGCCATCTCCCTCCCACACCGCTGGCCAGGGCCCTGCCTCACTCTAAATTCTGCAGTCCCCCACCCCGGCCCCCACCATCTCCCTCAATCCAGCCCTCCCAGGACAGCCAGCAAGCAGAGAGGAGAATCTGCCCAGTTCCAGCTCCTGCTCCAGATCCAGCAAGGGATCCCCACAGCCCTGAGGACTGGGAAGGACTGCCTGACTCTAGTGGACTTACCCCATATATCCTCAAGCATGTATCTTCCCCTCTCTGGGCCCTACCTTCTCCGTCTTCGAAACTGGGGAAGGGTCAGAGAATGAGCTCATGAAGGCTGAAATAGGCAAAGAAGGCTTCCTGGGGGTGGGAGACTAGTGGCAAAAGGTGACCAGGCAGGTGGGCCATGGTCAGATCCCCCCCAGCTCCCCTGGGCACCAGCAAGGCAGGTATACCCCCCTCTACCTGCTGACCCCACTCTGCCCTTCCTGCCCTCAGCAGGAATGTGCAGCACCAGCATCAGTAACTTCGAGGAAGCCAGAACCAGTTATGGGACAGATGAGGACATCCTCTTTGTCTACTTGGACAGCTGACGGCGGGAGCCTGGTGTGCCCAGGCCCTCACACCCCACCCTGCCACACCCTAGTCGGGCCCACTCAGGAGGCATTGGCCCAGGCCCAGAGCTGCTAGGGCTTGGATGCAGAACTGCAGCCTTGGCCCATGTGACAAAGCCCCAGGAAATTGGAGCCCGAGGCATGCCTGCTTTGTCCACCAGCATTGCGTGTGTCATCATGCCACTTACCCTGCACACCTGCTGGTTGCTGGAGGCCTCCACAGAGACTCTGAGTAGAGCCTCCCCCAGGACCCCGGGCCTTACTCCAACCATGCCCAGGGGACTTCCAGCCCCATGGGTGTCTTTGTTGCCTGAGAACCAGACCCTGGTGGAGGATAAGCTTGAGCCCATCTCCCCACAGACCTGGGGGCTGAGCCCTGGAGATGCCGCTTGTCAGGATGGGATCTGTGTGTTTGGAGATGGTGTAGCCAACCCTGGCTCTCAGAGCTGTGGACTGTTCCAGGCCTTGCTGGGAACTGCCCTCCCCCCTGACCCCCAGAAGTGCTATAGACTTCGTGTCCTTTGGTGGACTCTGCCACTCCTTCCTGCCTCCCAGTGGACCCAAGTTCCTGTGGCTGGTTGCCAGGTCTCTGGGCCCTGAGGAAAGCTGGGCCTCAGGCCAAAAGGACCCTGAACCTCACCCCTCACCCTGCACCCTCCAGGTACTATAGCATTGTAGGGTGGAGGGCCTTCAGGGGAGTAGACAGGGTCCTGGCTCAGTGCTGAATGTACTCTGAGAATGCCTGGCCCTGAGGGCCAAGAACAGCCTCCTGAGTCCCAAAGAACCCATGAGGCCTCCTGACACTAGCCTAAACCCTTACAGTGGGGCCCATTCTCTGGGTATGGGGAGCCCCAAGCCTCACAGGGCTGGGTGCTGGGGTGCTAAGGCCTGCACTCCTGAGGCAATGGTGGGGAAGCCTGAGGCCTCCCACCCACCCTAGTGTTCATGCCAGGACCTTTTGCACAGAATGTTGGGTCTCTTTTTCTTGACAGAGAAGGGTGGTGCCTGCCCAGGATCACGCAGCACTGCACATGGCATGGATGATTTGGTTTTTTTGAGATTTAAGCTTTTACTTGTGGGGAGTGCGAGTCACCCTCAAGTAAGACAATAATAGTGAGATTCAGGTACTTTGGAACCACTGACACCTCTCTTCGTAGGGCAGATAAGCCAGCCCAAGTTCTCTTTCAAAGAGAAAGGGACTCACAGCTGGTGGGCTGAGTGCCAGGTCCCCTCACCTTATAGACAAAACCCGGCCATCAGTCTGGGGAGAGTATGTCCAGGACAGTGGCGGGGCTGGGTCTTGAACGCAGGTCTGCACCTAAAAACTAAGGGAAATGGATCATTCCCAAAAGGGCTGAGGACGCCCACCCCTCATGAGCAGTTGCTGACAAGGGAACAAGGCTGTCACAGCAGCCATACAGCAGCTGCCATCCCTCTGGACCGCAAACCATGCTCAGCATCTGCTCCTGCCAGCTGGCTGGCACCTCCCCACCATGGCTGCTCTGAGGGGCAGAGATGGGCCCTGTTTATGAGGACTGTCAGACCACCCAGCCGAATTGCTCCTCGACACCAGATGCAGCCTTTGGCCAAGAGGGAGGCACTATTAGCTGGTTAGCTAACAGGTCAGCCACCCTGGTTTCAGAGACTAGTGTTGCCTTCAGACTGGTCTCATCTCTTTTGCCTTAATGCTGGGTGGCCCAAGATCCCAAGGAGCTCTGGTTTCACACCCAGGAGTACCATGTGTGGCAGCTCTGGGGTTTGGGTATTCTCAGGAAGGTTCTGGCTAAAACTGTGGTAAGAATAGATGCATCAAGGAAAGCAATGAGGAAGCCAAGCTTTGGATGACTGGTGGCACTGTCATGGAGGGCAGCCTCCACGGAGAGTGGTCACAGCACCTGTCCATCGTGCAACATTTAGAAACAGTCTCTGGGCAGGCCACAAGTTAGAGGTCACCCATCTGGAAGATTAACAAGAAAGCTACCTGTGCCTGAGATGGTGCCATCTTCCTGGGGAGGGTCATGGGGGCAGGATGCAAACCACGCTATGTTGTGTTATTGCACACATCATGGAAACAGGGCTGGAGGGAGGCCAGACTTCCAGAACTTCTGCCCATAACATGTGGCACCCATGACCCCTGTCCACATGCTGGGGGCCCAGAGAAGCCACACAGTTGGTTTTGTTCACTCCAGCCACACAGGGACAAAAGGGATCTTTTGCATTGCAGAGATTTTCTACATATATATATTTTGTTTGTAACGAGCCATTCTCAATAAACATTATTCTCACTGCAAAATGATGGCAGCTCCTGGCCCCCCTTTGTGAATTCTTGTTTCCCTCCCAAATTCTCAGCATGAGCACATGTGAATCCAGGTCCTTGGCCTGCCATACCAAATTTTCACTGGGACTAGAATCATGTTTACTGCTTTTCAGTTCTGCCCCCCTCTTGATACTCATATAGGGATTAGGTAGGCAGTGCTAGAAACGGAAGGGCCTCAGAGCTGAGCTTGACTGTGGTTCTTGAAGAGGGCATGGAGGGCACACAGCTTTGGGCAGGAGGGTCTGGGGGGTGGTGGAATTGAATGAGGGAGACAATGGGGCCCACTGGCAGCAATAGAGGGGGGAGCCTTGTGGGCAGGACTCCAGCCCTTCTTGTATCATCCACCCCCAATCAGCAGCTCCCCTTACTTGGTAGCTATTGGGCTCTTCTAGTGTTACATTTGATAAGCACTCTATTTCTTATAAAAGGAAGTGTTTGTAAATCCTGCATTATCTGGCAGCCTCAGACCTGCCCCAGGTCCCACAGAGAGCTAAAAGAGCCAGAGCAGGCTTCTCAGGTAGGGTCCCAGTCTCCAGCCTGTGCTCTCATCCTGACTGACTGCTGCCCTGCTCCTCCTCAAGCCCCACACTGAAGGGATGTATTAGGTGTTCTGACTGAGGTCTTGGACCTTCTCCAAACTGGAGAACAGCCCTGTAGACATACCTTCAGTCAGGGAATTGAGCAGCCAAGGACAGGATGCCCAGCTAGAAGATGCCAGGCAGCACAGCAGGTATTCTGCAGGTGTAACTAACACCTTTCTGTGCTTCAGCAGGAGCCCTCTGCCCATTCTAGGGGAAGGGGCACTATCCTAAATGCACATAACATGGTTGGGACAGGCATGGGAAAGACTGGCTTGGGGCCTCTGGGTGGCCATTGAATACAATGATGGGAGAAAAATGACAATGAGGGAGATGTTGAACAGGGACAGATGTGGGTGAGGTGGTGAGAACTGGGTAGAGTTGGCTGCTCAGAGCATGCAGGGTGAGGATAGAGGTTCGACATGCTGGACCATCTGCTTCCAGCCTCACTGATAGGACTGTTGGCCACAGGCTTCCTGGCTGTCCTCATGATATGGCAGATGGTAATGACATAAAGGGGGTGAAGGAAAGGATGAAGGGAGGGAGGGGAGAGAGAAAGAGAGAATGAGTACCCAGTATGGAATTCATAGCATTTTAATAACCTAATCTCAAAAGTGACATCCTAGAAGCACCTGGGTGGCTCAGTCAGTTGAGCATCCAACTTCATCAGGTCATGATCTCAACAGTTCACGCGTTCAAGCCCCACGTGGGGCTCTATGCTGACAGTTCAGAACTTGGAGCGTGCTTCGGATTCTGTGTCTCCCTGTCTCTATGCTCCCCGCCCACTTGTGTGCTCACTCTCGCTCGCTCTCTCTCTCTCTCAAAAATAAATAAATAAATATTTTTACAAATGGGGCACCTGGGTGGCTCAGTCAGTTAAGTGTCCAACTCGATTTCAGCTTTCAGCTCAGGTCATGATCTCATGGTTAGTGGGTTCAAGCCCCACATTGGGCTTTTTGCTGACAGCATGCAGAGCTTGCTTGAAATTCTCTCTCCTCTCACTCCGCCCCTCCCCCTGCTCACACATGCTCGCTCTCTCTCTCTTTCAAAAATAAATACACTTTTTAAAAAAGTCACATCCTATCATTTCTGCAGTACTCTATTTATTAGAAGTGCACCAATATGTCCAGTATACACTGGGGATCACACAGGGCAAGGATACAGGAGGTCTGGTGGTTACATTTTTTTAATCTCATAACAGCTAGGAACACCCCTGGAGATATCTGGTCTAACACATCCTGAGGCGTGCCCTTCAGAACATCAATGGTGAGAAGCTCTGTATAACAGGGCACCCTGGTCAGGTCAGCTTGGCAAACTGCATGCTACAGTCTCCTCAGGGAGATCTAAGATGTGGAGAGAAGGCTCTGTATAATCCAGCAGCAAGGGGACTCCCTTTCTTTAGGTTTTCCCCAAATTACTTACCCACAGTTGTTCTTGTGTAACACTAGTATCCCATGAAACACGCCGACACTTGAGTAACCACAGGTCTAGTCCAAGGAGGAGGGTGCAGCCCAGAGAGGGGAGCGACTGGTCCAAAGTCACCACTCAACAAGCTATGGACAGAGCTAGATCCAAACCCAAAAGCAACCATGGTGACCCTGTAGGGGTAAGCCAATGCCAGAAGAGCCAGGAAGTGAATTCTGAGTTCTGGAGTTGGAGATGAGCTGCCACAGGCCCCTGGGTTTCTGCCTCCAGGTGGAAAACCTGGTATGTGGCCCCAAAACTCTGAAAGAGCACAGATTCTGCTTTCCTTGCTGACATGGCTCCAGCTACAGTATCCAGGGACACACATCACGGTCTTGCCTCCACTCTCCAGTGTCAGAACAGAATTGAGAAAGCCAGGAAGATACTGAGACATCATCCTGCTGTGTTGCTGGTCCCAGGGGCTAAGTGATGGAACCAGCATGGACTTAAGTGTTCATGGGAAAACCTCAGTGCCAGGAAATGGAGGCTGATACTCCCACGGGCCCAGCACAGTGGCCTCTCCAGTGGCTTCTCCATCCTCTCCTCCCACCCGCCTCCGCTCTCCCTCCTCTTTGTCCCTCCTTGGCCCTCTGCCCCAACATGCATCCTGAATACTGCTTCCTGAGAATCTGCTCCCAGCCTCTGGACTTCCCCAGCCCTGGGAGATCTGGTGAGATAGCTGTTTAGAGCTCCTTGATTTACAAAGGTTTAATGTCCACATCTCACAATAGACCCATGAGGCAGCCAAGTTGGCCTCCTCTCTATACCTCCCACCTGCCAAAGTCCTTTCTTCCCTCAATGCCCTCTGCTCAATGTCACCATTTCTAAAGGAGGAACTTTTCCTGCACCCCCAACCACATCATCCTGTCTACCTGTCTCCACTACTGTAGCTCCCAGCCCTTGACACCTAGTATGTCCTCAACAAAGTATGTGAATGGTCAGCAGCATATCTTTAACAATATCTGTTTTAGGACAGAGGGAGGGAGGCAAGATGGCGGAGAAGTAGGGACTCCATACATTTCGCTCACCCCCATTTCAAACAGAGAAGACCTGAAGCTATAGGACACTGAACCGCAGGAATCTGGGAGGAAAAGAGACAGATTCCACTAAGAAGACAACCTCATAGGTGCATGAGTGTGAACTGGGGAAGATAAAAATGGGCCGGGACCTGGAGACACGGAGGGAGGAGAGGGAACCCCCTACGTGGGGAGCCACGGAGGGTCAAGGGGAATAGAAAGAGCAGCTGAAACTGCTCATAGAACTGTCCCTGGAAAAGAGAAAAACCTAGGCTTTTCTAGGTTTTCTAGGATGGGGAGTGATCCTATTTCTAGCTGGGGTGCTAACTTTGGGCTGGGTGCCCCAGTACCAGGCAGCACCAGGAGAAACTGCTCCGCTGCTCTCCCGGCTGGATCCCTGGCTGGGAAGCAGCCGGCCTATGGGATTATATTTCGGGTGATATCAATAAAACACGTGGACTAAGTCCTGGAAATGAGACGGGGCTTGGACATAGAGCACAGCCCACGTTGGCTACACCCGCGGCACAGGGAGATCGGATCCAAAAGAGTGATTTGCAATGCTTGGTTCTAGAAGGGACTGAGGTGCTGCCATTCTTCTCCCCATAGTCACCAAGGCGGAACCTCAGGGAGTGGCCACAGGACAGTGGTGGAGGCTAAGACCTGCCTACACCAAACCATGCCCATCCCTGCTAGAAAGCTGCCTTTTTTTTTTTTTTCCACCAGAGCCAGGGGCAAGACCAACACGGATGCACTGCTGTGATTAATTCTAGATGAATTCTTTCTATTCAGATATATTTTCCCTTGTGTCATTTGTATCCCTCTCCTCTGCTGGACTGGGCACACTGGTCATTGGTTTGCTTAAACAGTCACATTTAATCCATTCTCTAGATGTATTCTACACCTCCATTGTTACCTTCCTATCTGTCTCCCTCTGGAGTAATCAGACTATATAGTTTCTTTGGGTAACATTATCTTCGTTCTTTCTCCTCGCCTCCTACCATATTCTCCTCTTTCTCTCTCTGAATTAAGCCTCTTAGTCTCTGCCTGGTCATTGTCCAATTTCACTTTCTCCCCACTCCTATCATTTCTCTCTTTGTATATGCTCTTCCATCAGCACTGCCTATACCCTGCTCTTTACTTGTAGCTGAGAATTCTGGTTTTATGCTTTTAGACTATCATTTGTCTTTTTTTTTTTTTACTTTTATTTTATATTCTTTTTTTCTTTTTCTTTTTCCCTTTCGGTTTGCTTGTTTGTTGGATTTGCCTGTGCGTTTGTGTGCCTTTGTTCCCTGTGTGTTTGTCTGTCTGTTTTCCTTTCCAGGGCTACCTCAAGAAACAAGCCAAAGTGCACATGGTGGAGAGTCCTAAATACCACTACACGTAAAATAAAATAACCAAAGTCTCAACAAGAGAAACCAAGAGACACCATTAAAAGACCACTTCCTGAACGAACAGGACCTGGACAGTCAGTGAACCTTCTTTAATATAGCAGTACTCACAGGTTCAGAGTGCATAACAAGCTTTCAAAACTAACAAGAGACAGAAAGCTAGCCAAAATGATGAAACAGAAGAACTCTCCTCTAAAGAAATTCCAGGAAGAAATGACAGCTAAATAACTGCTCAAAACAGATATAAGAAACATAACTGAAAAAGAATTTAGTCATAATAGTCATAAAATTATTAACTGGGCTTGAAAAAGGCATGGAAGACATCAGAGAAGCTATTGCTACAAAGACTATGGAGCTTAAAAATAGTTGTGATTAAGTTAAAAATGCTATGGTTGAGGTGCATAATAAAATGGAGGCATCCAATGCACAGATTGAAGAGGCAGTGAGGAGAATAGGTGAATTAGAAGACACAATTTTAGAAAAAGAGGAAGCCAAGAAAAAGAGAGATAAATTGATACAGGAACACGAAAGGAGAGT